CAGCTATAATCCATGACTGAAGCCCCCAATTTCATGAATTAAGGGCCATAGAAAAAAAAAGTTCCATGAAGATGAATGAACTTTTACATTTCTCAAAGGTCTGATCCAAGCATGGGTGTAACAATATGTTAGATGCAATAATGGTAAGGGCTGAACCCAAATAAATGTGTTATCTATGGTAATTTTGTCAATACCAAAGTTGCATAATCACTTTAATTGTTATTCAATTGGGTGAAGCCATGAAGATTGGGGAGCTAGATGATTGTATTTATTGTCTTTTTTACCAATAACTAAATTTTATGGGCAAAATTATTATAATACAAAATTTAAAGAAGCTTTTTCCAAAGAATAATCACTTAAACAGACTTTGATCTATCAAGTCCCTTAGAGCCATCTCCAAGCGACCCTGGTTTGCTACGTTGCTCACTGAGGGTTTGATCACTACTGAAAAGATTCCTAGGCTAGCTTAGCTAGCTCCGATTTGGTCTGCGCTTTGAAGCGGGGGAGGGTCAATCAGAGGAGAAGCTCAATCACAGGGGAAGTAAAGTTCGAGACAAAGGTAAGTCATACCACTGATTAAGAAATTTCTTTCCAGCCAAGAAATAGGTTCAGGTCAGTCCGCGATACAACAGAATGATCTCTCTTTATCATAATAGAGAGAAGACTAACTCTTTATCAAGCCAAAAGAATTGGCCAACTCATAGGTCTCATAAAATAAAGAGGCTAATAGTGGTTGTAAACCTCATTTATCTCACTAACAAGTCCAAAACAACATGGGTCCCTCCTCTCCCTAACAGGCCCAACTAGAGAAATAAATAAACTCTAATCCATGTGAGGGGCATGCACAACCCACTTCTAAGTCCTCGCAACAACCTAACAACAGCAAGAAAGACTTAAGCATTGCTTGTACACTGTTTTAGAAACATCCACCAACTCCAGCCAAGCCAATCCCACAAAATGAGCTTGCATCAAAATTAAATTGATGAAATTGAAGGGGGGTGTCATTCAATGGACCCAAGGTCTATGAATAATGTCCTCTAGAGTGGCCATAGAACTCCAACCAAAAAGTAAGCCCACTATCGTAAAGCCTTAAACTCCTTCCTCACAAACACCCATATGATAATGGTCCTCCTTTTGCACTATGTGCGAGTAAAGTAACTAGGGACAAAGATGTATACCCCCTCTCTATGATTCATCATTATCATCATCAAAAGCCTTGTCCCAACTATTTGGGATTGGCTACACGAATCCCAGTCCACCATTCTGCTCTAACAAAGGTCATACCTTCAGTGAGGGTATAAGTTCTCACTACTTCCAACAATGTCCTTTTCGGCCTACCACTTGCCTTTTTTTAACCTTCCACTTAAACTAACTCGCACCTCCTAATAGGTGTTGTACTAAGCCCACGCTGCACCTTCCATTCAGGATTCATGTGAAGTTTTGGCAAAGTTTTACGTTTGCTGCCTACCTAACAGCACCCACCTCTTTTACCTGAGCTTAGGATGGGTTAAGGGAAAGTTTAAGGTCCTCACCCTTCTTAGACCACCCCCTCTCTATAATTGTAATCTCAAATAAACCTTCGAGTCCATGGAAAGCCCATGACCCCCTCCACTTTAAAAGAAATGATGTTAACCCTCACCTTACCTTTTTCATCGTCCAAATCACAATATTTACCCTGTTTCCTTTTCTCAATAACCCTATCATATAAATGGAATATGGGATGCCTCGTTTAACCTATTTGTGAGGTCCACGAGATGGTAGTGACAAATTGGGGTTCAAGGGAGGTTGAGAGAAAGAGAGGAAGGGTTCACGGGTAAGGAAGAGAAAGAAAGAGGGGAAGCTTTTGTAGGGTTTGGATTACGAGGTCATTAAAATTAGAATGGATAATATTATAATCTAAACAATGAAAAAGGTGAGAAGCACAGTGGTGAAAGAAAGTTTTGGTTACATTTCGCTATCCACTTGTTTTGAAAATCATAAGTCGCATTCTCAAAATACCACAAAAATAAGAAGAGTGTGCTTCATTCATAAAACAAGGAATAAAGGTACTCCATCAAAAAAAAAAATGAAAAAGGTGCAGAGGGGGTTAAACGCCCGTTTCTTCTAATTTAGAAGGCCATGGGTATTCCATGGACTTGAGGGTTTATTTGGATTACAAGGTTGATGTCTTTTTCCCAAGAAACTAATCAAAGGAAAACGTTAATAAGCGTTGGGAAGAAAAGAAAATCATGAGCCACCTCGCTATGACTACTTCAAATGACTAGAGCATGGCATCTTGCCGACTAAAAACCCCAAATTCAGAGGTGCTAAATCAACCACTTGGACATGTGTTTAAAAAACAAGGGAAAATTATAGGAACCCCCCTTGACCATAACTTCTTGGCATGCTCCCCCAAGTACTTTTTAAACCACACCATTAACCTCAATACTATTTATTTTTGCATCCACCCCCCAAGTAAAGAAAGAAGTTTTATTAGGACTAAAATACCCCCCATATATAAACTTTGAAATTTGAGATAGTTTCGTTCTCTAAATATTTAAAATTTCATATAGTTTTTCTCTAAAAATTTTGACATAGTTTATCTCACTTAAAGTTTTCAGATAGTTTCTATCTAAAAAAATTGAGATAATTTCTCTCTCTAAAACTTGAAATTCGATATAGTTTCCCTATCTAAAAATTTTGACATAGTTTCCCTCTAAAAAATTTGTTTTTCTCTCTAAAAAACTGAAATTTGATATAGTTTCTCTCTCTAAAAGTTTTGAGATAGTTTCTTTCTCTAAAAAATTAAAATTTGAGACAGTTTCTCACTCTAAAAATTTTGAGAGTTTCTCTCTTAAATTTCAAATTTCTAGTTATTCAAGAGAGAAACTATCTCAAATACATGGATGGTATTTTCGTCCTAAAAATACTACTTTCTTACCTATAGGGGTGGATGCAAAAATAAATGATATTGAGGTTAGTGGTGTGATTTGAAAAATACCGGAGTTGGGCATGGCTATAAAGTGTACTCCAAAGGGTATCTATAATTTTCCCTTAAAAAAAATATTAACATTTCATTTCTTATAGTATTTGATTCTCTCGGCAAATAGTACTCATTTTTTAAAGCCACACCCTAGCGAAGTAAGTGGTCCACAATGAGCAGCATGTCCAAGTAGCATAACCATCCAAAAGCCTCAACATTTTTGGAGCGCATGAACCAGCCACACTAATTGAGCAAAGAACAACATAATTGCTTCTGTTAATAAAGTGGGTAGAATGATTTTTCCATAGAGAAATTTAGCTTCAGATCGAAAGAAAGATGTAGCAGTATTGCATGGTCTATAGTTTGGGCCATATTACATTTAGGCCCTACATTTTTAAGTTTTTTTTATTCTCATTAGAGCCTTGCTTCAAAAATCTAACTTTTGAACCATCCAAAATATAAAAAAATGATGTATTTGAGCAATTCGAAAATCCAACTTTCAAACATCCTAAAACACAGCAAAAAAAAGGTGTTGGGTGGTTCCAAAGTCCAGCTTTTGGACCACCCAAATACATCAATTTTTTTTTTTTTTTTTGTACTGTTTAAAAGTTGAACTTTTGAACCTCCCAAATGCACTATTTTTTTTTATTTTAGGTGGTTCGAAAGTTAGACCTTTGATCCAAGGGTAAAATGGGAATAAAGAAATAAAAAAGTAGGACATCAACATAATTTAGCCCAAAATATGGACCATAAGGTACCGCCGCATCTTAACTCCGATTGTACATAAATTACTCTTTGCCATAAATGAACATCCAACATCTTTGGCCAATACCATCTACCCGATCTTACTAATAGGTAAAACCCTCAGCAAACACAAGGACTAAAGATTTTCGACCATTAGTTTTCTAAGAGATCTGCATAAGTATGGATTCCAAAGTATGTTGTCAGTCTGCCTCCCACTCTTTACAAACAATTGGAAACTCAAGCCTCAAGACCACAAGGGACAATCAGAGTGAGCTCTTCGTGCATTAGACAACATGCCAAATATCATCTCTATAATCATCCCTTGCATGAAGTCTAGTGTTCTCCAAACCTCCTTGGCCAACTTTCCAGCACATCTACCTGACCTCAAACTTTGGTGAATCCATTGCTCCCAATCCAATCATATCACTTCCATACAGTTTCAGTTCCACAGGACAACCAACGTGACTACCCACATTAAAAGTCAACATGAAATAGTCCAAACTCCCATTCGCTTGGGCTATTGTACCAGTAAAACTTATTTTCCTTCATGAGTAATGCTGCAAAGGAAACTGTCAATGAAATTGAACTTTGCCACCCGATTGCACACATCTAGGGCATCAATATAAAGTGACCAGTAGGTTGACCAAGGTTGACCTCTATTCCTTGTTTTATGAAGAACATGCTTCTTATTGTTGTGGTATTTTGAGAATGGGGCTTATGATTTTCAAAACAAGGGGATAGCAAAATGTAACCAAACCTTCTTTCACCACTGTACTTCTCAATCATTTGCCTCATTCCGTCTCACATAACCCATTCACTGGATAGCTGAAGATTTAAAAACGTGCCATCCAAGTTTTTATTTAAAATGCTAATATCCTCACCATTGTTACATATCCTCGTTGCTTCTACAAATAGTGGTCTCAAATACATCATACTTACTTGCTCATTTCAGCCCAAAAAAGACCTTCAGCCTTCTGTCGCCACACATGCTTCAGTTAAGTTATTTCATATCGTTTCCAAAGTAACGATTTAAGAATCGAGATAATTAAAATCCTAATTAACGGTTCCAAGACTGTTTCATCCTGTCCTGGGTAAGATAGTTAAGATCTACCAGTAGTTTTTAGCGGGTTCAATTTATGATAATCAAAAGTCTCTTTCAGAAGATAAAAACAAACCCAAAAGTACACAACCAAATGACTTAATCAAAGGAAATCATAAAGTGCTAACAATTCCCTAAATGGTTGTGAAATAGGCCTAAAAATGTGCTTAACATTTACTGTTTCTGGCACAATACCTTATTCCTGAGAAAGATGTTTGCATGATCCAAATGCCCAGAAGAAGTGCTCCTTTAAATCCAAGAACGAGAGAGAGAGAAAGAAGTAGCATCCAATTCATATACAATATAGAGAAGTGGTATCGAAGTGAAATGATCAAAGCCCTCTTTTAAAATAAGAAAAAAATTTAGAACCGGATTTAGCACAGAGAGAGAGAGAGAGAGAGAGAGAGAGAGAGAGAGAGACGACGACACAGTAGTAGTAACGAACTACTACTTCCGTTCGACGTAGGTAGGACGACTACGTCGACTACGTACGGTACGGTACGGGACGTAGGTAGGA